TATTGTTAATCCAGAAAAGCTGATACCACTGTGAACTTGATTATGCAGGCTGCAAAGACTTTTTGTATGGCAGGAAGTCCCTTTTCACAGTGCCAGATTTTCTCCCTGAACTGCTTCTTCCTTTCCTTGCATGCTCATTTTTAAATGTTATTCTGTGCTAGGAAACTACTAAGTTTTATAATAAAATTGTACTTTAAAGCCCATCTCACAAGTTTATGGGAGCTTAGGTTTAAGGGAAGATTTGCATGCGAGTAATATCTTGAAGTAAAATAGAAAGAGTGGTTGGATGTGGAGAAGGTTTTGTTCTAAAGCAAGACCCGAGTGAAGGCCTGCATGCTCAAGCTGATTTGTTTTAAAACTGTACATGTGGAGAACTGTTTAATGCTGAAGTTTAAAATTGCTGGGTTGTTTGATATGGCTGTTATCTTTCAACTTAAGCTATGGGAGTATATGGTGGTATACTGTAGTCTACAATAGTTAGTGCTGAACCAGCAATATTTTATACTGACGTTTTGAAAAGAGTTTATACATCTACTGCCTGTAGCTTTAGAAGAGAGATCCTTTCTTTTAAAAGGAAGACAGAGAACCATTTCTCAATACATGTCTACACATCAACTGTTTGTTTTTTGAGGTTTGATAGTAATGGGTGAATGAAAACCTGGACAAAAGCAAAGATAGAATTTGTCTGCTTACCTGAAAAGGTATTTTTTATTCTCTTTGCATCTGGTAGCCTCATAAATGATCAGAAGTAGTGCAACAGTCTCAGAACAATAGAAGGATTTTGTATCTACCAGTTACGATACAAATAAATTAACAGGAGGCATGTTGTTTGCAACATTTTCTTTAAAGTACTAAATAAAAGGGAACGACAGGGATATCCAGATTCCTCCCAGAACAGAGGACACGGGCCAGTTTTAAAACAGAAAATGCCATTGCTTATGTGGGTTCAGTACTCCTGGGAAATTATTCCATACTTCTCAAGATACTTTACCATCTGATGCAGTAGGTGAAAACCTTGCAGGCAAATACTGACAAGGCCAGTCAGTACTCAGCAAACAGTGTTCAAATGCTGTATCAAAAAAATAACATAAATGTTATGCTGACAGTAACACAGAAATGTACAGAATAGGAATCGCAATAAAGTGCATTCATATTTGTAACTGGAGATGTAATCTGATAGACTGTGAAAGAACAAATACTTTAGAGACTTATTGAAGGAAAACATGATTAGCTTAAACTTCCACCCCCCTTGAAGTCAGTACAGTTAGGCCAACACTGGGAATTCATATATATCACATTTTCAAATTTGATATAGAATATTAGCTTTCATTGAGGAATCTGATCTGTTTGTTGCCTTCGGTTCCTACAGTCAGCACTTGGGAGCAGGGGTTGGCACTGGCAGTGCCTGCTGTCAACATCCCCGCTTCGTTCCCTCCTGCAGTTTTCTCTCTCCCGTCTGAGATGTCAAAAACCCTTTATTGATTGTGCATCCTGAAACTTAATCTGTTTAAATGGATGCTCTTCTCTCAGAACAACAGGTAGTTGAAGGTGAGATAATAATATATGCATAAAAATCTGTGAGTTACACACAAAAAGCAGAAGGACAAGAAAAAAAACACACTGAAGTCAGTGGTATATGACTATGGAAATGTATTCAGAGAGAATCTAATCTGGTGCCATTTGTAGTCAGCAGGAGTCCTATAGCTTCTTCGTGGACATGAAGGACATTTGCCAAATGTCTTTTTTGCAAAGAGTACTCTGGCTTTTTTGGTGTTTTTAAAAACACTCTCAATACAGTAACCGTAGATTTTTTGTATGTGTCTTTCATGAAAACTGAACCAGAAACTTCATCCCTTTCAATTGCCTACCTGAACACAAAAGCCTCTACAGTGCTGAGTGGTGTGATCTGAGTGAAAAAAAAATAATCTTGTAGAATACTGCAGCTGATAATTTGTTGGGCTGAAGAGTAGAGATGGAAAAGACTTGGTAAATCATTCAATAAATTTTACTGACAAAGCAGTGTTTGTTTCTAAAACATGTTAATTTTTATTCTCCAATCCAGATTAATTTTGATGTCCAGTACTTCATAATGGTAATTACTTGCAGCCTGTCACTGTCACTCCAGGAAAAGGAAAGTACTTTTGTGGTCAGCGCACAAAACTGGGAGTCAAGAGATTTAAGTTTTATTTCCTGACTCTGCATTAGACTTTGTCGCTGGGCTCAGAAGCCTTCTTATGAACAGAAAATATGAGGTTCCCTTGCCTCTTTCTCACCTAGATTTCAAATTTGTTTAGTTAGGACCTGTCTCTTCCTTTTAGAGTTGTTTTTTTTCTATTTCTGTTTCATTTGGAAATAATGTGTTAACAAAAGGTCTTATTTTTCAGAAATAATAATTGAGAGGTACCTTAAAGCAGAAATTATTTAAATATAATAAACGCTCGATGGTGGTAATTCTCTGCTTGCAAAGCAGACAGCACTAGTTTCCTAAATATATTACGGAAAAAAAATTTTTGTGGTTTCAGCTCAGATCTTGCTGTTGGTTCTACAGTTTAATATTGCAAACCCAATATTGTTAATCCAGAAAAGCTGATACCACTGTGAACTTGATTATGCAGGCTGCAAAGACTTTTTGTATGGCAGGAAGTCCCTTTTCACAGTGCCAGATTTTCTCCCTGAACTGCTTCTTCCTTTCCTTGCATGCTCATTTTTAAATGTTATTCTGTGCTAGGAAACAACTAAGTTTTATAATAAAATTGTACTTTAAAGCCCATCTCACAAGTTTATGGGAGCTTAGGTTTAAGGGAAGATTTGCATGCGAGTAATATCTTGAAGTAAAATAGAAAGAGTGGTTGGATGTGGAGAAGGTTTTGTTCTAAAGCAAGACCCGAGTGAAGGCCTGCATGCTCAAGCTGATTTGTTTTAAAACTGTACATGTGGAGAACTGTTTAATGCTGAAGTTTAAAATTGCTGGGTTGTTTGATATGGCTGTTATCTTTCAACTTAAGCTATGGGAGTATATGGTGGTATACTGTAGTCTACAATAGTTAGTGCTGAACCAGCAATATTTTATACTGACGTTTTGAAAAGAGTTTATACATCTACTGCCTGTAGCTTTAGAAGAGAGATCCTTTCTTTTAAAAGGAAGACAGAGAACCATTTCTCAATACATGTCTACACATCAACTGTTTGTTTTTTGAGGTTTGATAGTAATGGGTGAATTGTGCTTCTGGCACAGAAAACCTGGAAAAAAGCAAAGATAGAATTTGTCTGCTTACCTGAAAAGGTATTTTTTATTCTCTTTGCATCTGGTAGCCTCATAAATGATCAGAAGTAGTGCAACTGTCTCAGAACAATAGAAGGATTTTGTATCTACCAGTTACGATACAAATAAATTAACAGGAGGCATGTTGTTTGCAACATTTTCTTTAAAGTACTAAATAAAAGGGAACGACAGGGATATCCAGATTCCTCCCAGAACAGAGGACACGGGCCAGTTTTAAAACAGAAAATGCCATTGCTTATGTGGGTTCAGTACTCCTGGGAAATTATTCCATACTTCTCAAGATACTTTACCATCTGATGCAGTAGGTGAAAACCTTGCAGGCAAATACTGACAAGGCCAGTCAGTACTCAGCAAACAGTGTTCAAATGCTGTATCAAAAAAATAACATAAATGTTATGCTGACAGTAACACAGAAATGTACAGAATAGGAATCGCAATAAAGTGCATTCATATTTGTAACTGGAGATGTAATCTGATAGACTGTGAAAGAACAAATACTTTAGAGACTTATTGAAGGAAAACATGATTAGCTTAAACTTCCACCCCCCTTGAAGTCAGTACAGTTAGGCCAACACTGGGAATTCATATATATCACATTTTCAAATTTGATATAGAATATTAGCTTTCATTGAGGAATCTGATCTGTTTGTTGCCTTCGGTTCCTACAGTCAGCACTTGGGAGCAGGGGTTGGCACTGGCAGTGCCTGCTGTCAACATCCCCGCTTCGTTCCCTCCTGCAGTTTTCTCTCTCCCGTCTGAGATGTCAAAAACCCTTTATTGATTGTGCATCCTGAAACTTAATCTGTTTAAATGGATGCTCTTCTCTCAGAACAACAGGTAGTTGAAGGTGAGATAATAATATATGCATAAAAATCTGTGAGTTACACACAAAAAGCAGAAGGACAAGAAAAAAAACACACTGAAGTCAGTGGTATATGACTATGGAAATGTATTCAGAGAGAATCTAATCTGGTGCCATTTGTAGTCAGCAGGAGTCCTATAGCTTCTTCGTGGACATGAAGGACATTTGCCAAATGTCTTTTTTGCAAAGAGTACTCTGGCTTTTTTGGTGTTTTTAAAAACACTCTCAATACAGTAACCGTAGATTTTTTGTATGTGTCTTTCATGAAAACTGAACCAGAAACTTCATCCCTTTCAATTGCCTACCTGAACACAAAAGCCTCTACAGTGCTGAGTGGTGTGATCTGAGTGTGCAGGCTTCCTGGAACTCACCCTTCACACTGTAGGAGCAGGAAATTCCTGGATTTTTTGCAGGGGTTCTGATAAAGTTTCTATATAACACTTGATATTGTATGTGTGTTGAAGCATTGCGAGTCACATAACGTTACTGGCAGTTGTCACTCCATCTCTTTTTCCATTTTCTTCATCCATTCCTTGCTGAGTGAAGCAAGAAAATATAACAATTAAAAAAAGATAATAATTCTGGGAAATGTGTATTGGAATGAATAGTTCATTGATTTTGTGGGACAGGGAGTCTTCAGAGGTGGTCTGGAGTGTGCAAACTTTTTTTTGCCAACATGGTAGGGGTTGGTCAAATCTGAAGATTTGATCTGACCTTTCAGTAATGTTTTATTGTGAATTGTAGATTCCAAGCTTAATGTTCTTAAATTTTAGATTCCCTGCCTTTACATCTGTGTTTACCTAAGAATTTGAGCCAGTATTTACGTGTTTGGTTTGTTCTTGGTGGCTGTTGCAGGTAGTGACAAACACGTGCAGTGGCTGCGTGGGAAGGATGGTGAGGTCTGGGTCTGGGTTATGGGAGAAGCCCCGGGTGACAAGCCGTATGAGCAGATATCAGAGGAGCTCATAGCAGAGCGAGCCAGGCAACAAGCACAGAAGGAAGCAGAAGAACTATGGTGAGGATTTAAGAATCTGAATTCAGGGTCCACTTGGCATAATGGGAGACATGGCCTTGTAGAGAGGTGGCAGGTAATGGTGGGTAAAACTGGTAAGTATGTTTGTGAACATTTGCATCCCCTTGTTTTGGCAAATTTTAGCATGTGAAAATGTATTTTGTGTTTTATGGGGTATTGAAAAACAAAAACACTTTCACAAAAAAAGTGAAGCAAGATTTTTTTCTTTTGGGGAATTTTGCTAAACCGTTGACCAGTTTGTAAATAAATAAAATTAAAAAATAAAAATAGAAATCTAGGTTTGAGATTATTAAATTAGAAATGTTTGTGGTATCACACATTTATGCCCACAATAGGGATTTGGTACCTAAAATCCTTTTGAACTTGGTTTTATTTGCATATTGTTTCTGTACTTATTTCAGCAGTTCAGAAACTGATCACACAAACTGCTGTTCTAGTGTTTCCAGCAGGGCCCCTTCCAGCTTTGGGAAAGATTCAAAAGTTTTTTTATGCTTTATGTTGTTATAAAGTAGGCCACCTGTCTCGTGCTTCCTTTTGTAGTGCAGCACTGAAAAATCAGAGTTTAAATATCAGATCAATCTATATTATTCATTTTTATAGGAAGTGGTTCTTGCTTATAGTGGTTGCATATTTAAGCAGAGATTAAAAGCTTCATCATGTTCTTTGGGTTCCTTTTACATTGTCACTACTAATAAACAATGTAGTGTAAGAATTTGGCAGACATTTGCGTTAATATTTGAGACAAAATAAATTCCCAGTCATGCTTTGCTGGACTGACAGAAAAATCAGTTTTTTCAGCCATGGAGGGAAAAATATAGGTTAGGATTCAAAGGCATCCAAGTACTTCTCTAATTTATAAGGTGCTATTTTAATTAGTCATTTGTCAAAAATTGAAAATGTCTGCTTTCTCAGTAGTTCCCTGAAATGTAATTTGTGGTAAGTCTCTTCTTAAATACATTTTAATTCTCTCCTTGTACATTTCCCTGAAGTCTTATGCTAATTATTTGTTGCAACCAGTGAGCAAATATTGATCCTCAATTAAGAAAAAATAAATTTATTTTCAAATTCTTTTCTGAAGGAGACAAAAGGAGGCTGAAATTACAAGGAAATTCCGAGATGCTATGGCTCAAGAAAAAGCCAGAATAGTGGCAGAGAAATGGAAAATAGAAATAGAAGATCGGAAAGCTGCCAAATTGGAGGAGGAAAAAATTCAGGAGGAACTGAAGGTTTGCATAGAATAATTTAGCTTTTTTTAATGGTGTTTTTATATAGATTCAAAGTTCTTTTCACTTTCAGTGCATGTTTATTAATAAGCTTTAAAACCCAGAGTTGTGATTTTTCATCGTGAAATATACAAATAGCTACATGGTGTTCACCAGAACAGCTGTATGAGTGATGTGGAAAAATTACATATCTCATTCAGAAGTGTCAGGACAATCAAACTGGTTATTCAGCTCACACATTAACAGAATTGTTCAGTCAGCTGTGCTGAAGTGAATCATACTCGGGGAAAAAAATTACAATTGTGAAATGTCTCGAGTTCATTTGCTTGAACATATTTTGTGTATTTTGGATTAATTTATTTCTTTACGATAATGAGGGGTGGAACCTTCCTCCTACTCAACACATGGGAAAAGTCCAGTTGGCTTTTTTGGGAAAAGTTCATTTGCCTGATTTTTATTGACTTCATGATGAATTTTGTATAAGCTTAGTTATAATATTTTAACCTTTGTTTGAAATAATATTTTTTCACATTTTCTTGTTGCAAGTAACAATTTGAAAACTAAACAGAAAAAGAAAGCCTCAGTCTACCTTTCTCATATTACTTAAAAAAGATTAAAAATTGTTTAAAAGTGAGAAAACAAAATATGATTTGTTTAGATGAGTGCAGAGAAATTATCACAGCATTCCCAGTCTGGGTTGTGCACCCTGGGACTGCACAAGATTGACGAGGCTGGGTTTCCATGGAGAAGGACTGTGGCAAAGTATGACTCCTAGGAGACCTGCATCCAGTAACCTGTATACAAGCCTCTCCCCTGCTGACAACATGCTGTGTCATTTTTTCCTTCCTGGGAATAATGTGGAATTTGCCAATAGACTCCCATCTTGTCCGTCTGTGCTGGAGGCATGGTGAAAAACTCAGTGTTAAATTTATGCAGTTTGACAAACTAGAGGCAGCAAGTTATCATTGTGCAAACTGTGGGACTGGGCTTTGTGGGTGGTTGTGTAGTACAAAGCAAGAGCAGTTCCTGTAGCAGCTTCTGCACAAAGTTGCTAATTTACCTTTGCACAATTAATTTGAATTCATAGGAAAGAACAGGACCTTTCAAATTTGATGTCAAAGAGTGATGAAACAGTATCTTTCAGGTGCCTTTATTAATGTATGAATAATGAGCAGAGCAACTAATTAAATGCTCTTTCCTCTGCTTTCCAGAAATCTAAGCCCTCTTGAACAAAGACTGCTACGGGCCTGTTTGCTTGTATCTCTGGTTGATTTACAGTGCACTTGGTAGGGTAAATGTCTACAAGCTCACTGTTATTCTTCTGTTTCAGAGAGACTTTTTCAAAAAGCAGAGTGAGCAACTTGTGAGACTTTTAGTAGCCAGCAGCCGTAATTCTTCTATTTGAGGAAAACTAATCTTTCAATTTTTAATACAATTTTAATGGAATGGCACCAAATTTTGCTCATTTTCATATTGATGAAAAGGTTAATGTCAGAGTCACCTGTGTTCTCTCTTTCTCAGGAAGTGGGGAGGTATCCCCATCCAGCTATATGCCTGGTAGGAGCAAGAGTTGCACTGCTGTAAATGGGATGAGAATCTGGTTCAGCTTCTGCTTTAAATTTAAAATACCAAGCTTTAGTCAGGATTTCATAAGCCTTTTCATAAATTTGCCAATTTCTTTATTTTACGTATTTCCTCTTCCTTCCCTCAATGTTTTCTTTTAAATCAAACCTTTTAAGAGAATATTTGCTAAAATTTTAACAAATGGCCTGAAATTTTTAAGATAAGACCTAGAATGCTTTGGCTTAAAAAAAAAAGAGTTTGGAAACGAGATATTATGTAGTGGTTATTTTTTAAATGCCCCTGGATGTGTTTAAAAGTCGTCTAGATGTGGTGCTTGTGCTGGATTCAGGTAGAGTAGGGTTAAAGGTTGGACTGGGTGATCTTGAAGGTCTTTTCCAACCCAAGAGATTGTATGATTCTATATTGAGTGTGCTCCCAGCATTTGCTGTATTAATAAAACAGCATAGTCTAATTACAATTTCAGCCCGGGGTCTTCAAATAGGTCTATAATTTGAGATGTTAGGAGGGATTCGGACTAACATATTTTTCTACCAGCAGAGATCCAAATGCAGGATCGATCCCTGGTGCTATATGACCACACCTTTGCTACTCAGAAAAGCAATTTGTATATTAATTGGTCTTGAAAGAGCAGATCTTGTGCACAGTGCTGTAGAGCTACTTAAAAATAGTACAGGTTTTTCAAAGACAAGTGGGAGAATTGTTAACTTCTCTATCCTCGGTCTTCTTTAAGCTCACTTGGCTTTCCTTCTCCTTCCTGTTTTACTCTCTTTATAACTGCTCTCGTGCAGTGGAAGAAGTACATGAAATATTTACAAGCTGAATGAGTGGAAAGGAACCTAGACAGCAAAATAGGAAAATTATGTTTCTGGCATCTATCTCCAACTACAAAAAGTGAATAGAACTAAGGTGTTGGGAAAGAAAATGAATTAATGAATCTACTAATGTATGACTGCAATCACTGAAATCACAAATAAATATACCTTTCATGAGTGATTCAATGTGTGGAATGAGATGCAGATCAGTTAGCAAGTCCACTTTAACAAGTTTAAAATATTTAATGCATTGGTAATCATCCTCTGTGATGATGAACAGACTGTACTTGAAGCAGTCTCCAAACTGGGGTATGAAAAGTTCAGTCTCTGCTAATGCTTCACTCCCTGGAAGCGTTTTGACTTGGGAGATTGAAACTCTATCCTTTCTGCTGATGTGTTTAATTTCTAACCGTATTGTATTGCAAACACTCCTTTTTAAAGCGACCTGTCATGGGACTTTAGGGCTGTCTGCACAAGATAAATGATATCTCACATATCAAAATGAATGATGATTCCTGTTTTCTTTTCCAACACTATTAGAAAAGTATTGCCTTCCTTGGTATTTCTTAAGCAGAGACGCCTTTAATTTATTATGCTAGAATATAAACGTTGTCTGCTCTGTTTTTGCAGCTTAAGGACAGCTATTCTTTTATGCACCTATTGCAAAGGGCAAATAAGAAAGCCAATTACTATCATTAATCTTTTTGCTAGTTCTCAAAGGCTATGAGATCATAGGCGTAATTTCCTACTGTTATCAGTTGCTGTCATTAAGAGTCTTGAACAATGTGCAGAGCTAGGGCAATTTAAAGGTATGAGTGTCAGCCAGCCAGAGGGAGGTGGAATCCTTCAGCTACGTTTAGACATAGCTGAGAGGCACTCTGAGCTTGCTCTTCATATGGTCTGCATAACGCAAGAGAATATGAATAAGGAAGTACCATCTGTATGACAACATCAGATACTCGCCAAATTTAATAATTTAAGCACAGTTGACAGGAAAGCTGGGTTGCTTCTTAAAAATTCTTAGGAAGATGAAATGTGTATTAACAAAAAACTACATATAAACTTTTATGGACATTGTTTTTCTTTATGCATCAGAAAATATTTAGTAGGAATTTTAATGATGATGCCACTTAAAAAAGCATAATCCTCCTTCTTCCAGTTGAGATTACAGTCAGTGAATTGTGCTTTTTTACGGTGTGGATACAAGAGTTCCCATCAAAGAAGACAGGTTTAGAATCAACTTTCAGAGAAGAACAGAATAATTAGTGCTTCAGTTCAGGAAATCTTTAATAAGGACAGCTTATCAAAGAATCACAGCATGTTAGGGGTTGGAAGAGACCTCTGGAGATAATCAAGTCCAACCCCCTTTTAGGTCAGGTCATGCAGAAGCACATCCAGATAGGTCTTGAAAGTCTGCATAGAAGGACACTCCACAACCTCACTGGGCAGCCTGTTCCAGCGCTCCCTAACCCTTAACCCTTATAAAGAAGTTTCTCATGTTGAGGTGGAACTTCTGTGTTTTAGTTTGTGCCCGTTGCCCCTTGTCCTATCACAGGGCATGACTGAAAAGTGATTGGCCCCTCCTTCTTGATACCCACCCTTCATATATTTGCATCTACTAATAAGATCCCTGCTCAGCCTTTCTTAAAACTAAACAGCCACAGGTCTTCCCTCAGTCTTTCCTCATAAGACAGGTGTTCCAGTCCCTTAATCATCCTTGTAGCCTTCTGTTGAACTCCCTCAAGTAGATCCCTGCCGCTCTTGAACTGGAGAGCCCAGAACTGGACACAGTACTCCAGGTGGGGTCTCACTAGGGCAGAGTAGAGAGGGAGGAGAACCTCTTTCCACTGCTGCACACTCTTCTTAATGCATCCCAGGATACCATTGACCCTTGTGGCCACATTTTTGTTCCATGGATAACTTGTTGTCTGCCAGGACTTCAAGGTTCTTCTCCACAGGGAGCTGCTATCAAGCAGGTCATCTCCTAACCTGTTCTGGTGCATGTTGTTATTCCTTCCCAGGTGCAGGACTCTACACTTATTCTTGTTGAACCTTATTAAGTTCCTCTTTGCCCAGCTCTCCAGTCTGTCCAAATCTTGCTGAATGGCTGCACAGCCTCCTGGTGAATATGCTTAACAGAAGCTCACACTTCAGTTCCATTGTTTTGGTTGGGCTTTTGACATGTTTGAGTGCTTTACTGTGCCCAAAAGTGCCATGGACCTGATTCTTCAGGTAATTGCTGCCAGGTGTAGAGTTTAAGAATACAGTAAAATGCCACCATCACCACTCACTGTACAGTGGGCTTCTTATGATCCAGCAGTGTGCATTCTGTCCTGATGTGAAAGAAATTTTTGTGTCCAAGTAAACATCAAGCACTTGAGTGGGCCTGTTATCTTTAAGTGCAAATAACTTGCATGTTGTGCCAAGAAACCACTGAACTCTTGCCCAGCATATCTATAATCCAGGAGGATGACAACAGCATCTTGTTGGCGTTTTGCACGCATTTCATTCTGAAGATGTCTCAGTTGAGTCCATTCAATCACAAGTACAGTAATTCAGTAATGCTTCATTTTGTTTTCTTTTGTGTGACCACAGTTTAGAAATTCTTTTTATCTATGCAGTTGTCTTTTTAACAGAGTTGGAAGTGAGACAGCTGATAGTTCCTACCGGGAATCAGGTCTTCAGGGTTTTCTATCCTACTTGAAAGGAACTGTGATACTAATTTTAAAGAAAAATCTTTTCCACAGTGACATCAGTAATGATGCTGAGTGTCTATTAAAAACTAGCAAAGCCCTGATATTTCCATGGGTAAATGGAAGAATCTGAGCCACTAATGAGGACAGTTTACATATCAGAAATTCAAACTGTAAAGAGTCCCTAAGTTCCAGAGACAAACTCTTTGTAGATTATCACTGGATCTGTGACAAATTACCCAAGCAGAGTCTGCTCCAGCACGTGCAGTAAATCTTAGATCTCTCCCAGCTGGGAATAGTCCTAAGCTTTGTGTTCCATTTCATCTGAAAGAAGGTCTTTGTGAACCAGAGAATGTCGTTATCTCCCTGTATGACTTAAACTACTACTGCATACAGCATGAATACATTTTGTGCGTTTTTCTCTGTGCAAATGGATGCACTGTGAAGTGATGCAAACCCTGTGTTCCTTTTGAGAATGATAGTAGAGAAGAAAATGTCTCTGCAAACACTTTCTTTTCTGAGGCAAATGAGAGAATTTTCTCAGAAAAAGGTTGAGAAGGAGTTGGACATATTTCTGCTGATACTCACTCACAGGTCTGTTGAAAAATGTTAGATGGGTCTGTGGAGAATGCTGATCTCTGAATTTAGCCTGCTGTGTCAGCCTTGCTGAGAACAGGCTGTCCTGCAGCCAGGATCCCCAGGATTTCCAGATTCCCTTCTTCAGAGCAGGAAGTCCTAAGGGCTCAGATATGAAGACAAGCTGTGCTCTCAGCTCTGTGGCAGGTAGCCTGACTGGCTCAGTGGTGTCAGCAGATTCTCAGCAGCTGTAATGTGGATGAGTAGCTGCAGCTCTCACGGCTGCCAAAGACATTCTCTGCCAGCCTGAAGCATTGAAGGGAATCCCAGGCATCCTTTGTGTTGGAGGGGAGTGTTGTAACAAATGTGTCTTGTAGGTTTTGTTCTGAGCAGTATGCTAGTTGTCAGCTGCCCTGCATCCCATAAGGCTCCCCAGAGAGACCTTCAGAGCCATTGCAACCAGAAGCTGTATTGTGGCTTTTCCTCAGTGCATTTTTGGCTGTTTGTTTGTTTTGTTGTGTTTTTTTTTAAAATCTTTCTGCAGCCAAAAACAAAAACAAAAACCTTTTCTCCTCTCATCTGCTTTGGACTGAAACATGAGAAGCTGGCCATAGCCTAATATTAAATATTATTTAGAGCTGGCTGTAGTAAACCTATCAGACACCGTGAGGTACACATTTACATGAACAAGTAAGAACTCTGTGGTAAATACTCAGCTGCCAGAGGCTGGGTAAGATAATTTAGCATGTTCAAATTCTCCAGTGGAGTTAAAACTGGAGAGTATTACTGCTGTCTAGTGAATTATCAGTGTGTTTTGTTGTTGCAGGTTGGTATTTTTTGGCAATATGCAACTTTGTACTGAATTGTCACCTTCCTAATTATTCTGGAAGAGCTGAAAGGACCATGGCACACAATATAATCTCTCTTAAGTGTCAGGCAGAAGGTGGTGTTTGTAGATTATTATACCTCTTCACTCTATGCACTGATGTACAGGGTTGGGTTCACTGGGAGAAGCAGATCAACTGGTTGCTGTAGAATACAGTGGAGTAAATTTGAGAAGTTCAATTACTGTTCATTTTAAATTCAAACACATACTTTTTAGTCATAATTGGAAAAAAGGATGACTTTTCTTTCCTGTGTCATACTAACAAGTGTTGTTTCTCCTCACACACCTTTAAGGAGTTGCACAATGTACTTGCACATCCATCCATGTGCTAATTTGAATAAAAAGGATTTAAAATTTGCTTCCTTTAAAAAGGAAAATAATTTGAAGAAGTTTTGTGAATTCAGAATCAAGTGCCAGTATTGAGGTTTTTGTTGTTCTTTGTCTTTAACTTAAATGTCCTCCTCACAAAAGAAAGGTAGGATTTTCTTAGGAGGCATTACTGATTTCCATTAAGAACTCAAACTCACCTTAATTCTGGTTTGTTGGTTTTATTTTTTATTTTTAGAATCTTTTAGCCTTTTACTACAAATACTTCAACAATTTGAAATATCAAACTTGTGACAAAACTCTTGTTTGATTCAGGGAAACTGCTGTGAGATTGATTTTTATTTTTTTTTAATTATTTTTTTCCTTCCTTTTTTCCCCCCATATTAAGTTGACCTTGTGGTTTGAGATGCTGAACAGAAAACATCTTACTAACTCAGGATTATCCCTTTGTCTGTCCATCTTCCTGAGAATATAGCCTAGATTTATCAGGGCTTTTTTAGGTAGTGAAGATAATTTAATAAACATTCTCCTCCAAAGAATAAAGGATAGTTGATTGCATGCTTTTTCCAAGAAGACGACAAAGCCATTTACTAGCAACTGAAATACAGAATCCCTAATTCCAGGGGGGAAATAAAAACATAATCTTATAATTATTTTTTTTTGAAAGCTATTGGACTTTGAAATCAGTGCTTCCTAAAAGCACTGACTTTTCAAAAGTAATGAACGGTTCACTGAACTAATCTTTTTAGGACTCAGGAGATAACAATGGGAGGATGATGTTAGAAATAACAAAAGATACTAGCATTAAAATATAAAAATATGATTGAAAACCAATATTAGGCTTTCTTTCTCAGAAATAAGAAGAGCAGCCTAATTTCTTATTATTCATATGCATTATGGAACTATTATTCTCTACACAAGTACATCACTATCAGTACCCAATATTTCAGGTCTTTTGATTTGTTGTGTTATTGAGAAGACAGATCTGTTGCTGGTGTAAACTGGTGGACCTCGGCTATGGTAAATGGGGAAATGTTAATTTATGTTACTTAAGGAAATGGAAAAGTGGTTTAATACTTTAAAAGGGTGGAGATTTGCATTGGTTCCATTTTCCCACTCTCAGTGTGCTTGTCACTGCTAAATTGCTGGCTTCATTTCAGTCATTCTGAATTGTCAGTGGACAAAAGCATTTAGAGCCATGGCAGCTGGCTGACTATTCCTAAGCAAACCATCCTTGTGAAACTCAAGACAGCTGTCCTTTTTTATTCACACTTGGATTTACACAGTTATTTACATATTCATGCAAGGATAATATGTCATTCTTCCTTAAACATAGTGTTGTGATCCATGATTAGAACAACCAAATAGTCCTGACTCCTGCTGCTGCTTCTGGCCCTCACTGAGCTTCTAGAGGTTGCAAACAGCAATATTGTTAGCTTTAGAAGGCTGTCTTCTGACAAAGAATTAGATGTCTTCCTTTAACTCTAGATGTCTGGCTAACAACAGGTAACTTTTGCAGAGCTGGAGAGAACTGGGAATTTGGTTATTTATGTTTTCCTGTGCTCAACTATTGCAGGTACCATTGCAATGAAACATTAAAATGCCACCAAAAGGGACAAAGGAAAATACAAAGATATTAAGAAATTCCACTTCTGACCATTAATAAATGAATGTTATGTAAGGAAGAGAGAAAGATTGTCTCCCAAACCTCCTAATGTAAAAAGCAGAGTTTCACCAGATTTTATTAAACAGGATGACAGTTTTTTCACCCTAGAAATGTGATAGGATTAACATTTTGCAACAACTCAGAATTTTCTCTGGGCTTTCCCTTACATGTAGTTTAGGTTAGGTGACTAGGTTAGTCAGGGTGTTTTTACTCAGTGAATTATAGCAAAGTTCTTATCCATATGTTCATTACCCAAAAGAGTATAATGCTGATTCAATTAGAAATCTAAATAAAAACCTGCTCTTAGTCATAATTCAAATTATTTCAGGAATATAAATGATGCTTCATGAAATTCATTTTTTGTTGGCTTTTTTTGTGTTCAGTGAACAATGAATTAAATCTTCTTTGCTCCCTAAGTAAATTGGTAACATTTATCAGAAAACAGATATGGGTTCTGATTCCTGCACTTATCAAACTGATGGTATGTGGAAGTCCAGCTGTAGAGGCAAGATTTTCATCTTTCTTAAGATCTTCTTGGAAGGGAACTTTTTTGTATGTTAGTTTTAGCTACATTTTGCAAAGTGACTGATGTGTACTATAGGATCTGGTTTTTTTTCCAGAACGTAATGATATTTGGAAAATGTTATTCTCTGCATTGTTTGTGATGACATGGGGTAATAGTTGCTAAACTGAGAATGCCAGTAAATCAGTTACTGAATTCTAAAAATTCTGTGGATGATGTGGATACTGCTTGTGTGACAGTCATATCTCCAATTGGAGCGTGTGTGGACTTAGAACAGCACTTCTTAGGGATTTTAGGATAGCACAGGATTTGATGCCACATGATAAACTGTGTTTTTCATATAGATTTCAGGACTTAGATCATTATGTGTTCCTTATTCCAGTGATACCTGTGCCTTTCAAAAATGCCTTTCTTAGGAATTAATTCCTGCTGGAGACTTCTATTATTAGCCTGTTATGATATGTGAGAAACCCAGAGTTTTAGAAGAGAGGGTCATTTGTCCGAGGTAAGGCAGCTACTTTGTGGGAGGAAGCAACGGAAGCGATGTGCTAACTTTTGGCACATTATTCCTCTGTAGTCATCTCTGGTTTACTTCATTTTGCCTAGAGAAGAGAAGAAGAGGAAAGACAAAAAGGTGAAGAACTAATAAGGCAGCAGGAAGAAATCCGAGCAAAGGAGTTGTATTTGAGCCTCAAGAAAGCTCAGCAGCATAATCAACACAGTGATGATGACCAGGAATGGGAAGAACAGTGTGAGTAAAATTACCTTAACAGAATTAATGTGTTTCTAAAAGCAAATAAAAGGAGACTTGTACAATGTCAAAAGATGTTGCCGAAAGTCTCTTCTACCTAGAGCAATGCAAGATGCAGGATTATTTTGCAGAAAATTACCAGCTTGACCTTACAAACAAAAGTTACTGTGAGTTTACCAATTTCACATTTCTTTCTGAATAAGAATTTGTGTCAGTGCCTTATAGAAATTTTTTTTGTGTACAGTGACTGAGGTAATTATTTTTCGCTAATGTATTACTGAACCAGTTTTGGCTTAGTAATAATTCTGGACACAGTTATATCAACAGCTTGTCCACAGCTATCTCTGAGGAGGTAAAATCTGTCTTCATCTGTATTTTAATTACTTCCATATGGTGATGGGGTGAAGCTATGATATCAGCACTGAAACTCACTTAATTTAAACAGTTACAGTAAATAATACTTAAAATTGTTGTCCTAAAAAAAATCCTTATGATGATGATCTTGCTCTATGGAGGTGATGTTCTTTTTTAGCCACCCTGAAATTCCTTATTCATGTGATTATTTGGATTAATTTAAAAATACTTCAGTAGTTTTAAAAAGCCTATAAGGCACAGAACACATATGTTACTATATATATGTAAGTATACATACTGTAGGTGAGTAAAGGTCCATGTTATGAGTTAGTAAGACTTCATAGGTTCTTGTCAATAGAATGTACATCTGCTGCACCTGTAGTCTATTGTGTAGTTGGCTTTAGAAGTCGGAAATTTGTTTGCAATAGGAATTGTGCATTTCTGTTAGGGAAGAATATTTTTTATTTACCATATATATGCCAATTAGATTATTCTGCAGGAAAAGGAATTGTAATGGCTGGGAAGTTTTAATCCATATGGGGTTATTGTATTATTATATATAACAAAAAAGATTAAGCAACTAATACTAAATACGGAGTTTTAGAGAGCTGATAGTTTGTGTTGCGTGAAATATCTCATGAAGTACCAAAGAAAAAGAAAAAAACAAAAAAAGCCTGTAGTCTTACTTGTTTCCTGACAAACGTAAAGCAAATGTTTCAAAATAGGCAATGAGATTATTTTATAGTTTTGGTCATCAGTTCAGGAGTTCCTGGAGACTAATTACTGGGGTCCTGTTACCTGGGATCGATGAGATAGTGAATCATTCTGTACAACCAGTGCTATTTTCCAAGCTCATAGCAGGCTGTGCTCATTTTTGATCAATAAAACCTCTGTATGCTACACTGCCAATAAAGAGAAGGTAATCATTTCCTGGAGAATTATCTAAGTCCAGGTGTACATGTTTAGTAGGAAAGGAAAACTAGCTCGCTTTATTTTGCCTATTTAAGGGCAAGATGAGTTGAGATAAAATTGTCTCTGTAGTAGAAAATGGTGTCATTAGTTGGCATGAGCTGGCAACCTAGCAGAGAGGATGGTATTATGTACTTTGGAATTTCTTTGATGAGATATAAGAAAAGATAATATATTTGCAACCATGTTTGAAAAAATAATAATCCTATCTTTACACTGAAATTGTGACTAAAAGTAAATACTATAAACATTAAAAGCATGAAAGCAGTAACTAAGGTTTTTAATTGTTTCAATTTTCTCAAGGAATCCTGGTTGTACAGAGACAGATATCAGGAGTGCAATTGAGGAATTATGGAAGAAGGCAGAGAGGAACAAGCTATGATAAATGCTGACCATAGTGTAATGGCTTTCTTGGTCTGTCAAACACTTTTGGCTGCTGATGGATATAATTTACCACCAGTATTTTTTCTTGTGTAAACTTTGGAGTATTCTGTATGCTCTGAATGAATTCTGTCTCCTGTGTTCTGTGTACCTCATTACCCACAGACCTGTCTGCCTGTGGCCAAAAGGGTGACCAACTGCAGCTCATGTATTTTCGTATTGGTAACCAGCCTGATCACCAATAATAGTGCTGCCATGGCTAAACAAGAGATCAGCACCTTCTAGCTGCTGGCACCACAGCTGGATTTTGCAGCCTACTATAAATTCTGTGCTGCCAGAGTTTATGCTGTTACCAGTAATTGATTTAGCATTAAGCTAGATGCAGACTAATGACTACAGTAGATCACATCCTTGTTTATCCTTTTAGGCTTATGTTAACGTCTCAATTTCTCCCAGTTGGTTTGAGGGCTTAGAATTGTGTTCCATTAGCAAAGGGGTGTGATAAGTTAAGATGTGAAGATGCAGTGTTTAGTGCCTTAACTGAAATCAGTTCCTGTCTGGTTTAGACTATGTCATCAGACTTTGCACTGAGCTTCCTGAGGAAAGTTAACATCTTCCATTTCCTTAACTTTGCTGCAGGAGCCAGAATCTCCAGCAGACCAGCATTAACAAATATTTGGAAGAAGGGACATCAGAAATTCCTGTGGAATGAACTATTACCATAGGTTCACCAGAATTTTCAGTTTCAGGTTTTTTTTTCTTTCCATTGATAATCCTTTGATTTTGTCTACAAATATTCCTTTGGGACACTGAGAGGAAATTTGGTCAAGTTAAGCAAAACTATCCACCTGTCATCTATTCTAAGCAACTAAGCAATAAATAAATGCATGAGTGCATAAAAGAATTGCAAGCAGGTGTCATATTAACACCTTTTGTCTCCACACCCCTATGATGGAATTCATATTGCCCATTAAGAACAAGGCCAGGCTTCTCTGTTCTTACCTCCTCCAAGTCAGTCCTTCATATTGCTGGGGGGTCAGTACTGAAGACACACAGCAGTGCTAGGGAAGCTATTGTGGAGAGCAAATGTAGTAATGATATTGATGGCACGACTAATTTATTTAGTAGATAGAATTTAGAATGTGATGATTCATCTCTCCTCATCACATTATCCCTCAGCTGTTTATTGCCAAGGCAAGAAGCAAAGTGGTGTGAATATTTCTGTTGTTTGGCTCAGTTTGCTTCTGCTGTTTGCCTGGTTGTGCTAAATAACAATAAAAGCCAATAGAGCAACATTAATTGAAATGCATTGTTTTAGTGCTTTTTAATATACTAAATGATAAATGTAAAATAACGTGAGAAATTGGTACTAAAAGGGAAAAATGATATTGTAAGAGCAATTATACACTTTGATTTCATATAATGGATATATGTTGGGATATTTTAGAAGGCAGTTGTGATTTAATACATGAAACAAGTATATTGGCTGGCAACAAGAAGGTGAATAGTGGAAAAGACTGATTCAAACAGTCTCCTGCTCAAAGCTCTTTTTCTTTGAAACAGAAATGAGCACTGCAGCTAAGCTTGGATAAAAGAGTGTATATATTCTGATTATTTTTTGACCTTTCTACAGGCTCCTCCATTTTGTAGGTTTCTAGATTATTTAATAAACAATACCCTATATCAAAATCTCTAAGTGTGACCTTCTACTGTCTGTGAGAGTAGAAGATTATTCTGGAAAACATAATAGGAAAAATGGTAGCATAAATATTCATCTGTTTGAATATTGCAAAAGACATTCTGATAGTGCACTTGCAAACTCCTGCAAACTGCATCAAGCAGTGAAGTGTTTGGATACCAGCTGTACTCACCTCCAGACAAAAAATTATTCCAATAGAAATATAAATAGAGTTGAGTGACTTGATCTATTCTTATGCATTTCCTGAAGCAACCACTTTAGGTCTCTGTTGGAAGCAGCATACCAGGCTGACTCATAATGGCTTCTTTTCCATTTTATGTTTTTATGTTCTTCTTCTACAGACTATGTCTATGAATTTATTTTTGTCTGAATTTTAAATGAATTTATGTCTGTTTGGTACTTCCACAAAAATTCAAGCGAGCGATTTACTGGCAGGAACATTTGATAAAATGAATATGAAAGTGAGTGGTCCCCAGTTCAGCTATGCATTAACTAACCAAGTGCTCAACCTGAAGTATGTGCTCAGTGAACTTCAGTAGGTCTTGGAGTGCATTGTTGAATAGGGATGGGTTTATTCACATGCTTTCAGATAAGATTACTGAGCCATATTGCAGAGTATCTGTTGGAAGTTATTTTCCAGTTAGGAAAGGGAAAAACACTGTGATTTGTATGTGCACTCAGCAAATGTGAAGATTGAATTTTATCTATTAAGTAGTCATTTTAATTTGCTTATAAACGAGCTTCCAAGAATTATTAACAAGGGTTAAGCTGAAACAAAATAATTTAATTATGAGAATGCATATTAATGGTCCTTTTTTTTCAGAAGCACAAAATAGATTATTCAAAATTGAGAGTTCGTAGTCTTCCATAAATCACGTGGTCAAGTTCAGCTGCAGCACTACATGAATTAATCCTCATCTTTATCAAAACATTTTGTATTAGAACTTTGCCAGGACTGCCCATAGAGATGTTTCAAGTGCAAATATAAAAAGAAATCTTCCATGTTCACTCTAAAGTCAACTTAGTTTAGCATAGAGGAATAACAGATTCTTGCAAACAATTGAAGAAAAACAAGGCTAACTCAAGTTGGAACCTGTAGGTTCGTAAGACTAGTGCGTTCACAAGCTTTGTGGCTTCTTCTGTGCTGTTAGAGTATGTTCACTGCAGGTCAAGTAGGCATGTCCAAGCTGGCTTTAAACTATTAATTTCTAGCATTGTTAAGAGTATAATCATGACAGCATAGTCTTCAGTCTGGATATTTTTACCAGTTTCCCAGGGTTGGATAACCCGTTTTTGGCTTGCTCTGCTGCAGCTACAATTATATTGGCATCTAAAGTGCCAGTTCAGACATTTCTGTACACGCTACAGTACTAGCAGGGCAGAATTGTGCCTAATTTTACTGGTGCTGAAGGAGGATGTACTTGTTGTTAGTATCATCAACACCTGAAGAGAAAGCTGCTAGTGGAGATGGAGTGACAGGACCTGGCTGTACTGCATATTTTCTGCAGCTTGAGTAATAAAATTCCTCATTTCCCACTCTTGTCAGTCCTGACATTATTCCATAATATAAAAGGAAGAGGAGTAACATAAAAATTATTATTTGTAGTAATTCTTGATGCTAAATATATGGACCTATGGTACTGATTCAGACATTTTAAGGATGAAACACATCGTTCAGATAGCTAATATCCCTGCTGAAAATATTGTTGTGGAATTTAATGCTTCACACAGGGGTCATGTCTGAAGTATATGTACTGTAAAAGAACAGCCAGTCAAGAAAAATAATCTGCTCCTACTTAAGATAATACTAGAAGTCCTGACTACATTTGCTTGCTTATTGTGAGAAGGGCTATAACATGTCCTGAAATAAAACAATTAAGCAAAATTTGTGGCTTCTTTGATCTTAGGATATTGGTGCTAGACTTGATCCAGGCATGCTGTTCTTATTTCTAGTGAAATGGTTCCGAGTCAAAGAGAGAAATATGAATATTCACTATATTCTATTGTAAAAAAAACACGCTATGGAAATATGTCCAGATTTATCTTCAGACTGTGTATCTGTCTTTCTCAAGATAGATACATTTGTGGGAGCTGTTGGCATGGGAAGATGGTTCATGTGGCATATGTAATCTTTTCTGGAATGTAGTGGAAAACTTTTTTTGTAGATTCCTGACCACAATGGCTGGATGAATCTTTATTCACAATACTGTTTCCAGTCACCAAAGCCAGTTACTGATGCTAGTGACGTGAATTATTTACCTGACACAAAGTTTCTTGACCAGTCATACTGTTTTAAAAGAAACTTGGGATAACATAGCATCACAGATCCACAGTAGAAGCTGTACTAGACCACTCCTAAAGATAGAAGAATGCAAGGAAAGAGAGAGAGAAGGGTTTCTGGAAACAACTAAGGAATGGGATAGAGAGATAATTATGACTCCAGTAGAAAGAAAAAATAAATTAAGAGGCCCCATGTATCTGTATGGTCAATGATACAATTCTTCAGATACCTCAGTTAGGAAATGTTAATAAAAATTCTTTATAATGTGAGAGATGCTTCTATGTATGTGTGTACATATAGATTATATATATAATTACATGCATGGGTTTAGATACCTATGGCATACAGCCTTCCCTATCCCAGCATATCAACAGACACATTTACATGTTTTGGTACATACATATATGTAAACACATATACATATAAAATTATAGATAGGGAAGGCTGCATGTTGTGCATACTTTCAAAGAAAGTTTTCTGACTATTGATGTTTGACAGTTGCAAACTATGCTACCTCTTCCTATTGTTTTGTGATAAGAATATTAACATTTTATATTTTGGGGAAAATGTAGTCCAGGTGATAAGCTTCTGATAGTATAGATTTATTAGCCAGCAAAAATGCAGTAGGAATGTCTGTTTAAAAGAGTGGGGCATGAAGATACCTTGACATTTTCATTACCAGCCAAGCAGAGAAGAATCCCAGAAAGCTCCAGGCGTCTGCCCTTGATCTATGTATTGTGATTGTGGCAAACTGACTGGTTTCAAAAAATGTCTTATCAAGCTACATTTCACTCATCTTCTTTGCTGTGTCTCATGTTGTTGCAAACAAAATCCACATTTAAAGCAGCCATTACTGACTGGCTTTAAAAAGGATGAATTGCAGAAATTTTGTGGCTAATATACTTGAGCCATTGTAGCGGCATATTTAGATTACATTATCCTTAAAAATGGTGACCTGTAAGATAAGTAATGAAACCTGTTACTCATGTTTTTTGTGCTGTTGAGTTGTTTGTTACTGTGTTAAGCTGAAGCGACAGGGTATGTAGCTAACTGAAATGGAAATCCTGCCAGTTGTACCCATGTGAATCATCTGTGAGTAATTTATTATGCTATCTTGATGAGCTTTTAGTCCTGTATATCTTTCTACCTCTGATAATATTGCATAACTCTAAGCTTCAAGGTCTTTTCTCTTTCCTCAGAGGGTTTGATTTTGTTTCCTTTTGCTTTGAGTGTTTTTATTTCTTGATTCCATTAAACCTTTTCATAATTTGGACAAATCCATTTATACTTCTACTTGCTTTGAATCAGGAGTGTAAACCAGATGCATGCAAACAGCCTAATGAAATGTAGCTGTCTGGTATTATATCGTACATTCCTAGTCACAGATACAATCACAATAAAGTAAGAAGTAGTGCACACATTATGAATTAGATACAATCTAAGCCAGGATAGTCATGGCAGGATTGATAATTGCTTCTGGAGGCAATAGTCTGCTTCTTTAGTATTTGCTTTACTGGATGTTAAAGGTTTGTTTGTCACTGGAATAATTTGCCTGTCTGAAGTTATTTATGTCTCAAATCATCAAAATAGGGCTCGAGGCACCAGAAAAGAGCTGATAGATGACAAATATTTGCAGTACAATTCTTGGTGCATTTAAGTTACACCACCTTGAAGACAGGATTGTTAGTACATTAGTTTTAAAATTAAGAAGCTTTAGAGAAAGATGCCTGACCTGCAATGGCCAGAGAAGCAATCTTATTTTAGATTATGGAAATATGTAACTCCCTGCTCAGTGCCACTAATAGGTGTGCATTAAATCTTCCAGGAGAGATTCTGGCTCTTTACATGTTATTTCAGAGACTCAAGTGTGATACTATCCCATCCATAGCATCAGTGTGCCCTTTCCAATGGCTATTAATGTCTCCATTTTTACTGAAACCATTTTTAGACTGCAATTGTCAGTATGGAAACTTCTGTGACTTTTAAGTACTGTAACAGTGAGAACATAAGTCTTTCAGAAAGGAAGCAACATTAACAACAAAAAGTTCAACCTACATGCAACCTACCCAAACCTCCTGCAATTCTAGTTACGTGTATAGTCACAAAGAATTCTGTTAAGCACAATTTTAAGCAGTAGTTAATATTCTTTCTTGAAACATACAACTTGGTGCACTGCCAGCGGAAAAGATGTCCCGAAGCAGAATTTCTCTTATTACAGCCGAAGCAAGTGTCAGATGTAATCACATGTAGAAGCTCAGTTATTGCCAGAAGTGATCAGACCATTGATAGGTCAAGTCTGGCCTGCTTCTTCTGGGTCTGGGCCTGTATTGAAAGCATCTGGGAAGTCGTCCAGTTGGCTGTCTCTTTGATAGGGTGTTGTAATTTGAATGTTCTTAAAAACCGGTCAAATAAGGAGTAAAGATAGTAAGGTGTTCAATAAGGAAAAGGGTGAATGTTTGGATGTATTTCTAAAGTCTCTTCTCCCCCCCTCCCATTCATTCCACCCAGTGCGCCGCTCCAAAGCTGCGGATGAGGAAAGGAGCCACAAAGCACGCAGGGCCCGGGATGAGTATCGACGGCAGTCCTTGCGTGCCATCCAGAAGGGAAGAGTGGCTGGCCTGAGTAATTTGTTCCAGGGGACAAGCTTGAGTAATGAACAGGAGATAAAACTGAACAACAATAGTGCAAGTCCTTTGCTGTCTGTCTCTGCAGCATCCAGGTTGGTTTGTAGACGAGTGACTTTGAAACAGCTTCCTGTTGAATTACACCCTCTCCAATCCCCACTGTTTCAGCAAGCTCTTCAGATCATGAAAATTCTGAGTCTTGCTCTTTCACTATAGCCAGAAAAATAATGTTTTAAACAAAAATTGAATACTTAGTGTAAACTAAATGCCATTTATTTTTCAGACAGATTGCTCAGAGTTCACTCAGTGAGAGATGAATCCTTCAAAAGTCGGCATTAGATTAGTATGCAGGCTGTGATTCGGAGACCTCAAATGAACAAATTCTTAGCTAAATCTTAAGCCACAAGCTGAAAACTACTTGCTGCTTAACAATTATTTGAAACATTTTAGAGAGCTATCACACTTCTAGGTGTCAGGGGTTTTAAGTTTTCAGGGTTATTTTCAGGTAAAATCAAGTATCTTTGTTGTTTATTAATCTTTCACCTGACTATTTAGGGAGAACTATGAATTGCAGAACAGGAAAAGAATCCAAACTAGCATATGGGTGCTAGAAAGTTGACTAGTCACTCTACTCTTTTCAGGTTATTTATGTCATTGACTTGGTTTCATGAGGTGATAAAGGCAATGTGAGCACTGGTAGGATGGAAGTATGAAATGCTAAAAAAAAAATATTAAAAAAAATGCCAACAACCAATAATCAAGCTCAGAAAGGAAAGAGTCCCATTACATTATTTTTCTTTACCAGTCAGTGTTGCACCAGAGAATCAGTCCCTAATTGTTTGGAACTCTGTTCTGCTTTGACAAGATCTGCTCTGCTGAGACACAGAAATTCCTCTGTTACAGCAGCCAAACTCCCAGTTTGAGGAGGAATTGGAATTTTACTCTAGGTGAGAAGCAGGATTTTTAAAGTTAACATCAAATCAATCATCAAAGGAATTATTTCATTATTTTTCCAAACTACTAAAACTCTTCTTCAAATTGAAGGGATAAAAACACTAGTAAGTGGCAGAATTTGAAAAACTTGGTCCTAAAGTTCTGAGGGAAGGTTATCTACTACAGAATTTAGTACTGCTAGATGTGATCCTTTTCAAAAAAAAGCAAAAAAAAAAAAAAGCCTTTTAGAAAAAAGCAAAAAATATAAAAAAATATATTAATATCTCTATTGTCCCTTGCTTGCATATGCTGCTAATTCTCTGTCTCACTCTCTCCTGTAATTACTCGCCTTTCAATGCAGTAACATTTGGGAGCGCCCTTCTAGACCCTTTTCCCGAGATGTCATCATTCGTTGGTTCAAAGAAGAGCAGATCCCTCGACGTGCTGGGTTTGAGAGGAACACCAACAGGATTGCTCAATGGTTTCATGGTAATACACTGAGCTTTCATTTCTTGTGTAGTAGAGCTGTAATCATACACTCAGGAAATAAATCTTGCCAGCTTTCCCCCAAAAAGGAACATCTACTGACATCGTGCAGTGCTTGTTAAAACAAGAGTTTTGCATCATTCCCATGATTCGCTTATAATTTTTCTGGTTTATTTTTTTCTGATGAAGTAAACTAATTTGTGACTCCTATTGCCAAAGGTTTTGTCAGGAATATTTTGGCCAAAATATACTTGCTGTAAAATAGCAAGCTAAACAGGAGGAATAAGACAAAGAATACAGGGTAAGGAGGACTCCAAAATAAACTGGGAAATATCGTAGTGGTGTGGGATGTGGATGGACTTGAACTCATATCTGTTTAATCTCTGTTGTACTTTCTAAACAGGAATATAATTTTTTCTTTCTCACTTTACTTTGGAAACAAAAATTATTGAAAGATCTTGATTTTTCTCAAAAAGACTTGGGAGTGAAGGATTGTTGGCAGTTTTCATGGAATGGGAAAAACAATTCCTGTTCAGATCTTTAATTTGCCGTCATATCTGCTGGAGTTTCTAGCATCTCTGAGGCTTGCTCTGTATAGCATTTGCTTTGCAACTGAATCTTTATTCTCAGGTAAAACATCTTATTTTCATAGGTATAAGCAATGGTGCTTGTATTTGTTATACTTAAACATTAAAAAATAATTCTGTCTTAATAACTGATGTAATTGAGGGACTTCAAACTTAAATCTTAATATTTTTCTTTGCTGCTTTTGGTGAGTCTGAAATTTTTCTGTTCAAGGCACCAAACTGACCCTGATCCTATTTTCATGATTCTCTAAGCATAAGATGAAGGTGTGTGGGTGTTCTAAACTGAACCAGGCAAGAAAAATTTCTGAACAAGTTTAGTGCTTCATATATTCCAGATTTTTTTTTGTGATACAAAAATTAGTATGTGTTAAAAGACCTCAGCAAGTTCCTATTTTCATTGACTTTAACAGTCAAGGACACTGAAGTCAGTCATGAGTGCTACATACATCCATTTCTTATGAACCACCATGCAAACAGGGTTTTTGTTTTCCTACAGGAGACATTTGGTGTGGTTTCTTTCTGAGAACCAAACTGAGAAAAATTTCATCTGCGGCCATTTTTTGAAACTGTTTTCAACTGTGATATTTCTGTGTGGCCCAATGGTAGATGTTTTCCCTGCTTGTGGGAAGTTCACATCCATACCAAGTGACATGAGTAGTTATGAACATAATTCATGCCTTAAGTTAAGAAGGCATCTGGGCTTAACCTAATGCCTGTGCAGTCCTTCTAACTTCAGTGGCTTTTGGATTCATCTGATAATTACTGGAACAACTGAGGAATTAATGATCTTTCTTTAGTTTCTCAGATTATGTTGTTCAACTCTCAAAAAACTGGCTGTCTAATTACATTTATAAAAGTGAGCCAAGTACTTCACTGCTCCTCTTCCTATTCAAGGAGCCTGACAAAAATAATTAAGATAGATTCCCAACACAATACTCAGTTGTTTTCTTTGCAGAGATCCACACAAATGCTTTTTTTATACCCATTTGCAGGGTTAACTGTTTTAGCTTCTGCAGCGCTGGTCAGATTCATTGTAATCCTTAGTTAACAAGTCCGCTGCCTTGTACTCTGCTGGAGTGGTGGAAGTTAAACATCTGGTTGCTACAGGTGCAGTAGTCAGTGTTTTGTAGTGCTGCCTAGTGTCTATGTTACATTTTGTAATGTAGACAAACTTTGAGGAAAAACAAAAAAACCCAAGCAACCCAGAGCAAACGAATAGAAAGTATTGACATACTAGAACTCTTTTGTTTTGTTTTGTTTTTCCAAGAAAAAAAACCCACAACAAACCTCTTCATTGAATTGGCCTCCAATTTGGGGAAGGGAGAAGGTAGGGGAGGAGAAGGCAACCAGGATCATTTGGATAGGTGGATGTTTCCATGGAAAGAACTGCTGCCTAGTATTTAACGCTGTCTAGTGTTATGATGACAGGCTCATAAAACATAAATTATCTCTCAAAAGAGGTATAATCAGGTCCTTGATATCCTTGAATAACTTTGATATTTTCCTATATCTCAGCTTTGGACCATAAAATGCAAGTATAATATTCTGCCTCATGAGAAGAGCTTTTTGACTGCAATGCACTAAGAAATCTATTACAGCAGTACTGATAACATAGGTAGTAGTTTGTTACAGAATTACACATTTTTGCTGAGGTCAGTAGACCTTACCTTACTGGTTTTGACCATCAGCTTGTTCAGTTTATTAGCTAAAGTTAAACATTGACCAAAATGATTAGTCTCCAAATTGTACTATGGACATACAATATTTTCTGATTATACAGATGAAGATTTGAGACAGATATTTGGCTAAAACAACGAAGTCCAAATAACAATGCAAGCATGTATTTACCCTCATATTTGGCATATTCCACATGTTAAGTCATCACTCTGATCTGGATTCTGTTTTAAAATACATATTGTCTAGGTCATTTTCATGGTTTGTGAAAGAGGGAAATATATGTCGTTTTCTTTTTATCTACAGATGAAGATTTGAGACAGATATTTGGCTAAAACAACGAAGTCCAAATAACAATGCAAGCATGTATTTACCCTCATATTTGGCATATTCCACATGTTAAGTCATCACTCTGATCTGGATTCTGTTTTAAAATACATATTGTCTAGGTCATTTTCATGGTTTGTGAAAGAGGGAAATATATGTCGTTTTCCTTTTAATTTTCAAAATCATTACAAAACACTTAATTTGAAGTGGAGTGATAAAAACTGTAGTAAAGATGTCTTTCAAATCTGAGTATCTCCTTCCTGTTCTCATTTTTAGTAGGCTTTACTGTTTTCTTGATTGGAAAAAATAACACACTAATCATAGAATCATAGAATATTACAGTTTGGAAGGGACCTCTAGAGATCATCCAGTCCAACCCCCCTGCCAGAGCAGGATCCCCTAGGGCAGGCCACACAGGACTGCATCCAGGCATGTTTGGAAAGTCTCCAGAGAAGACTCCACAACCTCTTTGGGCAGCCTGGACCAGTGCTCTGTCACCCACACAGTAAACATGTTTCTCCTCATGTTCAATTGGGAATTCCTGTGTTCTAGCTTATACCCATTGTTCCTTGTCCTATTTCTGGGCACCCCCAATAAGAGATTGGTCCCTTCCTCTTGACAGCCACCCCTCAGATATTTATAGACATTAATAAGATTGCTTCTCAGCCTTCTCTTCTCAAGACTAAACAGCTTCAATTCTCTCAGCATTTCTTCATAGGAGAGATGTTCAAGTCCTGTAATCAACCTTGTAGCTATCTGTTGGACTCTCTCCAGTAGATCCCTGTCTTTCTTGATTTGGGGAGCTCAAAACTGGATACAGTATTCCAGGTATGGCCTCACCAGGGCAGAGTAGAGGGGGAGGAGAACCTCCCTAGACCTCCTGGACACAGCATTTCCTAATGCAACCCAGGATACCGTTGGCAAAGAAGGCATTCAGCAATTCTGCCATCTCTGCATACTCTGCTATCATATCTCCCACCTCATTTAGCAGTGAACCCACTTTTTCCCTACTCTTTCTGTTCTCATTGACGTATTTGAAGAACCTTTTGCTTTCTTTCACCTTCCTAGCCAGACTAAGTTCCAAGAGAGCCTTGGCCTTTCTTGTTGAGTCTCTACATACGCTGGCAGTATTTCTAAAATCCTTCCAATAGACCAGAACCTTTTTCTACATATTGTAAACTTCTGTCTTCCATTTGAGTTTTTCCAGGAGCTTATTGCTTATCCATGCAGAACTTCTGTCTCCTCTACTTGATTTTTTTTTTTTTTTCAAGGGAATACATTTATCTTGAGCTTGATGGAGGTAGTGTTTGACTATTGACCAGCTCTCTTGTTATAGGTACAAACTGTAATGTTCAGCTGAATTTTGGATGTAAATTCTTTCATTTTGCTATGTTTGAGTAATAGATCCCAGATAAAAACTAGATCATTTATCCCTTCAATATAGAAAGATTTTTAAATTTGTAAAGAAAAAAATATGATTTAAAAAAATCTGTTTAAAAATCTTATTTATAACTTAAAGCCATCTTTAATCCCTTCATAAACTGTAAAATCAGTTGATCTTTACTGCATTGGATTGTGGAGCAATGAACCTTTTTTGTAAGTGTCTTGTGCTCACTTAGCAGCCACAGTGCAATGATGCTGAGTTCTCAAACTGCTAAAATAAAGGAGAATCAGATCAAGCAAATTAGGTGTTACTGGAGACTATCTTGGGATGTAAGGTAATTGGTGTCTATATCTTTTGTACAAACCCAGCTGTATCTTTTGTATTATTTAATAGTTGCCTTAGGTTTGAGTGAAAATAATTATGCCTTCTTTTTTTTTTACTAAGACATTTGTTTAAATTTAGTTTACTTCAAATTATGATCATCCTCATAACCAGGAAGTTAATAATTGTATTCTAATTTCTTCCCTGCTAATTGATGAACATGGGCAGATGGATCTAATGAGGGCCAGGTTTTGGTGACTTGACTGCTGCAGGTATATATTCAGATTGACACAGGCTGATAGTTATTGCCATCTGGTAGATTTTGTGTAAAACAAGTAATGCCACAGTTATTTATTATTAATCATCATTCCTAATCTGTGTCGATTTCTCAAAAAACATTGTTAGGAATGAGTGTTACCTTTGCTGGGAGCCTTGACAGGAAGAACAGATATGGAACAAATTTGGACATCAAATTAGGCTTTCATCACGTAACCTTAGAAAATGGGTGGTGACACACTGTGAGCCTGAGAGGGGAGTCATGTGGTGCTCTCACCCCTATTGTCCCTGTTCTCTGGTTAATTTTCAAGGCTGCTTAGTCCTATGCTTTTCGTCACTGCTGAATTCAGACACAGAGATGAATGGTACTAATATCACAATGGTTACTGGGGATGAATGAGAGCCTTCTGTTTGGTTTTATAAAAGGATTGCTG